CATTTGTACGCAATGCAATGGCAGGTCCCTCAGGAGTAATCTGCTCACGAGCTCAATGCCTTCGGAAATTGGCTCTACTATTTCTGACGTCCCTGTAAGGCTCCTTTCAGCCACATGAACATAAGTCGGGGCCTAAATGGAGAAAGACGCTTGCGGGGGCGAGCGTCCTGCGTCCGGACGCTGGACGCAGGATACTCGCCAGGACACAGGACGCTTGGCTGATTTTTTTTTTTCGGTCAGCCCGAAAACGAAAATACCCCCGAATCTGACATTTGCGATTCTGACGCCACAGGCATATTTGCGAGATCAGAACCCTCCCTTCCCCACCCCCCCCCCCCCCCCCCTCCCTTACCCATTGATTACCAAGTCAGAAAACGCCTCAAACAGAATTACGCCCAAGGGTTTACCTCACACCAACTAGAAAACCCAACCGAAGGGTTTTGTTCTCACTTGTTAAGAAGAACAAGGCTTTTATTTGTGGTACTCCACGTTGGTTTTCCAGAATTCTCCTTCGTAAACCCTTCCTTAGAATTCTCCTTTGTAAACCCGAAACCCGAAAAATATTCGGTGGGGGAAGATCTTGTTTATATGTAGTTATGTCCTCTCCTCTCTCCTCCCACGCCCCCCTGTATGTTGTTTTTGCCTGCCCCATACTTGTTTTTACACTACGCGGCCATGCGTAATGTTAAGCGTCTCGCGCGTACCCCAAAGATGCGTCCTGCGTCTAGGACGCTGCGTCTGGACGCTAGCGTCCAAGACGCAGGACGCATGTTTCGCCACTTAGGTCTGGGCCAAGGTGGCTCGTTTTGAGCTGTGACAAGCTGGCTGGCTGACAAGCCAAGATCGTCTCCGCCTGAGGATCCGGGCCGGCAGCTGACTTGGCTTGTGGCTCGTCCGTCGTTGGGAAGTTTATTGAACCAATACGACGTGGTTCTGACTTTTCCACGGGCTGCCGGTCCTGCTTGATGAAAAGTGCGCCTCGCCGTGTTTCAATCCCCCTGCGGATACGGCATCTCCCCCTCAGATCCCTGTGGACGGGGTAAAGGAGGCATGTCTTCTAGACAAGCCTGTCAAGACTCACCGACAAGCAGTCTACTGATCGTGCTGACTGCCGAGTGTTGTCGAGCCTAGCTCATTGAGCTAGCAGCGGAGCCAGCGGAGCAGGATCATTGCCCAGCTCGCCCTGCTGACGAGCTGAGCCGACAAGCCGAGCTGTCGACTCAGACTTATGTTCATGTGCACTCCATCCATGCTATCTCCTCTCTCGACTCTGTCACCGTCTCTCTTCTTGTGCATCTACCGCCCCCACACCAGCAATCTCGAGTACAATATGCTGTCAGGATCTGTGCCCTCCTCGATCACAAGGCTCACTGCTCTTACTTGTAATTTGGTTCCAGGTTCCCAAAGGTCCTGGAGGACCTGCAAAGGGTGTCAATATTGAATGAAGATCCATGGCCTTGTTTTCATTTGTAAATAACATTTTCTTGGAGTGTGCAGCCAAGATCTTAGTATTTAATAATTATGCATGCATGCGCAAAACAGGGCGGGCAACCCTTTTTTATGACAGGTGTTTGCACTACAGAGTTTTTGTGGTTTTGGGTGTTATAGTTAGCCCTAAATGTCACACTTTGTTTTTTGCACTTTCTATAACCTAGCGTAGTGTAGTTCTATGTTGCACTATACGCTGAGGGCTTTTTTCGGATCACCTTTATGCGTTCACGTATAAACGGAAAAACGTGATACGGGGACAAATACGTGGTACGCCTGGACGGGCAGCCCGTCGGAAAAAAAAAAAAAAAAATTGCGACCGTTCTCGCGATCTGTGATTCTCCGTAACCTAATTTTGACATTTGAAAGTCGAATGCCTTCCCCCGCACCCACCCCCGCCTTCCACCGCACATCAACCCAACCCTTCCCTTCTAACCACACTTTGGCTTTCACGTCGTCAGCTTCAAAAACCTATGTCGACTGCTAATGTCGCAGCTGGACGCAAGTAGGCAGAGGGGCGCAGATTTGGCATTCCGCCACCATAACCGTGCGATTCTAGTATTCCGCCAGCTGATCCGCGCGATTCTAGTATTCCGCCAGCAGATCGGCAAGAAACATTGATTATAGGGACCATCACTCACTCCCTGACACTTTTTTCCCCTGCCCGGAACTTTTTTCCCCTGCCCGGGACACCGTATTCTGAGCGTATCGAGGGGCCGGAAATCCATCGTACAACGTTCGTACGTTGGCGTATTGTACGAACGCGACTGGTACGGCAGTCTCGTATAGTGCAACATAGGTGTAGTTTTGCACTTTATGTTTTGTTGGGTGTTGGATATTACGTTTACGTTTACGTACGTTTACGTTAGTTCCAAAATGAGTTTACGTATCGGACAGATTAGTTTCCCTGGGATTCAAAGTTGGCAACTTGGCATTAACATTATCTATGATAATTTTTATGGTTCAATTCAAGCTACGAAATTACAATCTCCAGCCAGAAATTTTGTTTGACGACCATTGTTTGTATCGGCGCGTCACTTGGTGACGCGTTACTTTTGCTAGGTGCACAAAATCGCTTCGTGCTTCCCCTCCAATTTCGAAATCGCGAGTCAACGTCCCCCCCCCCCCCCTCACCCCCAGCGTCATCACTTCGACCCCCCCACCTGTCCTTACGCGGGGCTCTGAAGGTTACGCTCGATGCTAGAGCTATAGATCCACGACCTAATCCTTTCACATCTTCTACGTAGATCTCTGTTATACATGCTCTAACCTAGATTCAAGAGTTCCTAAGTACGACCTTAGTTAAGATCTAAAAGATGATGCTGCGAATTTAAATAGCGAGGTAGATAGTCACTAGATATTGCATAACGGTTATGAAAGAACCGTCAATCCTACATATAGCATTTCGTACGGAGCTGTATGTGCTGCCCTGAGCGGTTGTGCCGCAATGATGCTCTCTTCTCCAGGGCCAATTTACAGAACGTTTTTTCTTTCTTTGCCGGATTTTTTTTCCTGCCCGGACCTAGGGATGAGCAAAAAAACGAACACCTGTTCGGTTCGCCTCGAACACGTTTTTTTCTTTCTTTGCCAAACCGAACACTGTTCGGTTCGGCAAACACATGTGTTCGTGTAGGGGTGACCACGAACACGTTCGTGTTCGCCCCTTGCTCATCCCTAATTATTGGTTAAAAGGAATTGCAGAGTTTTGCTCGGCTCGGCCAGGGCGGTTTTTTTTTTGCAAAATCCAGGACTCGTCACTCGCTATGCGACGAGTTTCCCCTACAAGCCGAGGCGAGAAAGTCGCCCCGGTGCCCATGTTTGCCCCATCATAGGAATCCGTTCGGGGCAAACCAAACATGTTCGGTTCGACCACATGAGGTGTTCGACATGTTTTCGACCCCCCAAACATGTTCGTGTTCGGGTGTTGTCCATGCCTCCCACTATTGGATGGAGATGGGCCGAACCAGACCCAACCCGACATGGTCGAATGTGCATTGTGCATGGGTTGGTCAATGTGCTCGAATCTCGAATTCAACATGCCTACCTACGGCGGGCTGGGATTCATGACGAACCGGCTTGCTTCATCACCATAAAACCAACGCAGTGTGGGCCAGTTTAATCGGGTCGGGCTCAGGCCGGCCAACAGAGACAAAAGAAGGCCCAATTGGACACATGACAAACCGCCATGGGCAGAACTCGGCTCGGGAATGTGCTCCTGCGTACTGTACTACTAGGCCTGCACTGTTAGGTGACCGACGTTAATATTATAGTTTTGTTCCTTACTTCTTCCTCTGCCTCCCTCGCAATCGCACTCATTTTGCCTCCATGCAGGGGTCTCAGCAACAATCAGCTCACTGGCTCCATTCCCGCTGAGATTGGTAACATTGCGAAACTTGTAATCCTGTAAGCTAGTTGTTGGTCTTCTCCCCCCTTCATTTGCCATCCTCGTTCTGTAAGCCCATCTAACTCTCCTGCTGTGCTTCCTGTCCAACTCTCCTGCTTGGTTCTCCCTGTTTGTAAGCTAGAGGCGAGCAGAGTGAACCGGGGTTAGTTTTTTTCACGTTCTGGTTCGAGGCAAACCGAGTCAGGGTTGGACTCAAACCAGTGGATGTTCCAGCAGTGAATCTCGTGCATTGCAATGCACTGGTTCGGCTTTCTGACTGGGTACGGCCACCTGTCTGTTTTCTAGGGAGTTTTAGGAAGCAATTGTACTTCAAATAGGTCGAGCGAACTGAATCAGCACCGTACGCAATCTGGGTGGAAACGGTTTCAGACCAGACATCAGAGTGAAGCTGTTTCATACTTTTGTGCCACTCTGCCCAACCAGATGAAAGTGCTGGAGATGTAAGTGCAAGTTAAAAGGCTGAGATGGGTAAACATCGAGATACAAGGCTCGACCTGAGCAAATATTGATCCCGAACGGGTGCGATTTGAACCCGGCTAAACTGTTGTACGAGTTGAACTGAACCAGTTCATTTCGGATTAAACCGTTGTACGGATGTCAGCGGTTGAAGGATCGCATGTGGAATCTGAACATAGCAAGGTACATGTCGAACCCCAAGTGAACCTACGTAACCATCAGGCACCCCCTTATAGCCCCCCCGCGGAAACGTCTCGCCAAGCAGCTGCAGATGTGGATGGTGGTATCGGCGATACCACACGTCCATATGTGCAGTGTGCCAGCTCTCAAAGTGTCGCTCGCCTGGTGTAGGTGCCCTTCCATGAAATCCAGTCAGTACAAATCTTGCACTGCCGCTTGTGGTCAACACCCTTAGGCCCGAACATCTGCACTTGCCACCCCAATTTCTTCTTACCCTTGCCACTCCCTCTGCTACTCTCGGAACCTCCATCCTCGTCAAGGAACTCTGGAGCGACCACACCCTCACCTAAGCCAACCCCAGTGAAGGTGCCGGAGAGTAACGGCTTTCTTCTTCCGCGGTGGCTTCCCAATGGACGGCCTCCTTCGCCGCGCCCACTTCCTCTACCCGCATGCTGAGAGGCCTCCTCCGCAGCTACCCCTCCTCCCTCACCCACCCCCTCCTCTTCCCCCCCTCTGGCTCCAACCCTTCCATCTCCTCATCTTCATCACCCCTCCTTTCCCCTCTGCCATGCGTCTCGGGCGTCCACCCCGGCTCACTATCATCCCCGCTCCCCTCTTCGTCCCCATCACCCTCTTCCTCGTTCCCCTCCTCGTCCTCCTCCTCATCGTCCGCCTCACTATCGCTCTCTGTACGCGTCTGCCCAGAAGGGCCGGGCCTAGGGCCTGAGTAACGGAACGAGAGACGGGATGTCGGCGTTGGAATAGACAAAAGCCCACCAACGAAACAAGCAGCAGCTCCTCCAGGACCGTCACCTACTCGGCCCTGCAAAGGCCGTGGTGGAGACGCTGGATGGCCGCCCTGACTGCTGCGCCCACCCCGTTCTGAAGGAGGGTGTTGCTGGTGGGAGGCCATTTCCCGCTAAACCCTAAGAAAACGAAATCCTAGATAGAATGCAAACGCACCGGCGAGGCACCGTGAATGGTACTAGGGTGATGCGCGTGGGTTATGGCACGGGCAGGAAACTGTATCACTTTCTACGCATTCAACGGCCGAAACCCTAAACGCTATCACTCTACTTCAACCTGGCCGTTAGTCATACTAACCCTAATCTACTAGTACGTGTCGGCCTCTATACACCGATTTGGTGAAACGATGTTGGAGTACGGCTAATGCTAGGTGAGGCTGGTGGATAGAGGGCGGATTGGTGGTGGCGACCTGGTCGCGACTAGCTTGAGCTAAAAAAAATGAGCCCAAACAGAATTGGCCGCCACCCTAAATCTGGTCGCGGCCAATTCGTCGACGAACACCTAATTGTTCGTCGACACCCCGAGTCGAACGAACATGTTCGTGTTCGACGCGGCTCGGGAAACCGGCATAGGCGAACATCGAACATGTTCGCGCGAACAGCGAACATGTTCGAGGCGAACCGAACGGGGGTTCGTCCTTGTTCTCATCCCTAAACCTAGCAGACAGCGCAGCAAGGTCGAAAGTCTGCCGGCGTTGCGTAGAGGCACCGCGTAAGCGTTGCTGAATGGCGGCCTGCCAACAAGGCAACAAGTCGACGTCCCCACAGATCGACGAACACCTTCGTCGACCACCTTCACTGCCCACCCCGGTCGACGAGTCTCTTCTTCGACCAGCCAGGTCAGCCGGTCGATGAACTCGACTTCCACACCTAAGTCGGCCTCGACCTCTGCGTGCAGTCGGCCGCACTTCTCGTACACCAACTGCGAAGCCGTCTTCGTCCAAGCGAGGGCGGGGCCACATTCCCGTCAACAATCAGAACCTGAGATAAATTTACTTGTAGAAATGACCGGAAATAGTACATTTGGGCATCACACATAACTGAGCAGCAGCCAACGCTTTTGGTTTTCTACTTTATTCACCCTTCTCACTCCTCTCTTCTAACTCTCTGTATGTTAATGTTAGCCCCCAATCTCACATTTTGTAATTGTACTTTTTATATCCTAGGTTAGTGTACATTGCACTTTGTGTTTGGTGTTAATTGGAGATTGCCTTGGAATTACCCCCAATCCCTAGAGATTGTCCCTCATTCCCTTCCCCATCATTTCCGTGCTCATTTCCAATGTACTTAAAGAGCTTTGAGCTCACTACTATTGTATGGATTCTAAGCTCAAGTTCTGACACTGTATGCATAAGCAGGCAGAGAAATTTGGTTTCGCCCAAGTCGGGCTTTTGGCGACTTTGCAAGCAAATAATAGAAATATACTTATTATGCAAATCGAGCATTTGAATCTACCACTTGAACCATGCTCCATTCTTATGTAGCACCATCATGCCTCTAGCCATGTCGGTGTTTGCTCAGCCCGTCAATCTTAAGGACCGCTCAACCACTCAACCTGGTACTCCACCCGGCCTCATTCTCCTGTTCTATCCTTTCCATCACTCCTCTAACTTCCTTCCGTCTCACCACCATGGCCACCAGGTCTCTTGAGTTTAACCAGCTGTATGGGAGCATACCGAGCAGTCTCATCGAGCTCACGCAGCTCAATTTCCTGTACAACACACACATTTCCTCACTCTCTTTCGCTTGCTCTGGTGGTTTCCCTTCCGCTAGCAACATGGTGTTTAAGCACTATGTTATTTGTTCTGTCTAAACGGTAATGTTTATCAATGAGTGTTGTATGACAGCAAAACGCTAGCATCCAGGACGCTGGAATCGTCTTTCTCCACACGGCCTTACACTTGGATCGGCCACGAAAAATCTCTGATTCGCATGGGTAATATTACCCGTCTCGACCTCGGGTCGACATGACCAGTCCTTTTTTAGTTGGGGCGTGTCAATAATCCCGATGAGCTGACTTGAAGGTGACCCATCCTGACCCGACCCGACCCGTTTTAACTTGGCTCGACAAGTTCGGGACAGGCCGGCCCCATAATGTGTAAATGCAAGTGCCAGAGATATATGTGGATTTTTACTCTGGATTCAGGTTTTCCTGTCTGATAACAGAAATGTTCGCCGCATGTTTTTTCTGAGTAGGCATCTCTAACAGCCAAAACAAAGCATGTTCTATTTTCGCCCACTCGGACCACAACCAGCTCGACTCAAATCAGAACCGTTTCAAGTTACCGGCTTGTGACACTACCAGTCGAACAGGTATGGTTCGATCCACAAGGATCGCAGGCCCTCCTTAGGTCGTCGCAGACCCTCCTTAGGCTGTCGCGTGCACTTGTTAGGCTGTTACATGCCCTTCGTAGGCCGTCGCTGGCCCTTCTCAGGTCATTCGGGCCCTTCGTAGGCTGTCGCGGGCACTTTGCCGTCGCGGGCCCTTCTTCAGCTCTCTGGACCGTCCTTGGGCCGTAGCGATAGGTTTGAGCAAGCAAACGAACACCACGTTCGAGGCGAACCGAACATAATTTTCTTTTTGGCTAAGTATGTTCGTGGTGAACGTGTTCGGTGTTCGCCCAAACACGTTTGTGTTCGTTTCGTCGCATGTGCCCGAGCCACGACGAATACGAACACGTTCGTGTTCGTTTCGGGGAAAAAAAGAACACGCATGTGTTCGTTGCGACTTTCCCGCGATCTGAAATTTAGGTCACGGGACAAACTGTTTGAGCTCAAATTTGAGCTCCACATAGTCGCGTCGCGCTATGCAGCAGCAGGGTCTAGGGTCACACGCCCAACACACCCATTAACACCTCTTCCAATACGACTTTGAAAATATTAAGTCTACTTAGGTTGGTCTAGTCTAAGGATGGCTGGCGCCATAGGCTAGTATTGGCGCCATAACACTACAAAGCTGCCTACCCAACATTGTATTTGCCCAGATTCACAATCCCTCTTATGCTGCGACAGCAAGGTCTTCGCCTTCACAGGCGAACGGCGAACACCGTTTTTTGCTAAGTTCGGTTCGCCGAACGGCGGTGTTCGTGCAGGGGCGAACGCGAACACGTTCGAGTTTGCCTCTTGCTCAAGCCTACGTAGCGCACCTCCCGCAGCTCATCATGGGCCTCGTGCTCGTCGTCGCGCGCCTCCCAGCAGCCTGTCGCAAGCCTCCTTGCTGCTTGATGTACCCTTCCTGCTGCTCAACGGGATGTTGTTCGGGATGGGCACATCCCTTCGGCTTTGGAAGGTTGACTTGACAGCCAATTTTGTTTACCAAGGCTTTCCCGCACGTGGCCAGTGCGTCTCTCCTTCGCCTCTTTGGGCTCACCCCTCTTGCCTCCAAAATCTAACCTACTAGCCTTACACATGTTGTTGAGGTTGTGCTGTAATAATTCTATACGACATACACACGCTAGTAAAGGTGTACTTGCTAGCCACATTATGGGGTGATTGAGGATATTGTGGTTGAATCTTTCGATGTGTCCTGATCAATTATAAAAAAATGATGATTTAGGGGGCTAAAATACGCTACCTTTGTAGAGTTCGAATCACCCGAGGTTTTTTTTTTTTTTTTTTTTTTTTTTTCACGCTGGCTGGCTGGCATTTTCCGTGCCTGTCTGTCTATAATAGGTCTGTGACAAGGCCGTGCCTCGTACCGAACAGGCTAGCTGTTTTGCAAGGACATCAAAGCCGCGCAGCGCGGGCCTGTTCGACGGGGGCTAGTTCAATACGCGTTTAGGGTTTAGTTCGACTGGTGCATGTTCAGGAATTAGTACCAACAGATCCTTTCGTCATCCATAACCTACCGTGCCACAAATTCTATGGGCAATATCGATGATGCGGGAGTTGGGAATTACTCAAACAAAGTTCCCCCCAAACAAACTGAAAACTACTCAACTCGCCCCTTGCTCATGTCTACCTTATTCCATGCCCTTGCTCATTCAACCACACACAAGCCTTCGTGGACACCCTGATTGGAACAGGTCGGTTGCCACCAACCAGCTCAACGGCTCCATCCCGGCTGACATTGGTGTGCTCACCAAGTTGGCAAGCATGTAAGAAGATGTATTCTTCTCATCCTTTGCATATCTCCTATGAGCTCCTACAACTCCCTCCCCCCGGTTCTGTATACGGTGGAGGTAGACAAAAGTAAAACACGAGTCGAGTTTTACTCACTTGTTTTGGAGAGCCTCGGATCCAAATCGGGCGAGTTAAATATAACTTGCCCGAGTTAAACTTGCCCGAGTCGAATAGTTTAGGGACAAAAAAGGCACTGTTCGTTACGATTCGAACATGTTTGAGTCACAGGTGTTCTTGCATGTTCCAGTACATATCAGCCTTGTTTCTCTCCCTCAATTCTTACCTCTTGACTAGTCTATCCTCTTAGTCGAATTTCTCACAATCGTTTTCTGCGAGTAGGTGGTGTATGAGCACGATTAAGACTGGGTTCAAGCCAACCTAGTTTATGGAATCTGATGTTCGACGTTTGGTCAGGCATAGTTGAATTTCAGTTTAATAGGTTTGGTCAACACCAGACCCAGTTTCGGTTCGGTCAAAACAGACCGGGTTGACCCGTCCCGGTTTGGGATCACACCCGACCCAGCCCTAAGAAGACCAGGCCAGTCTAGATGTGGCAAGGTTCTGTCACGGTTGGGCACAAGGACGAACACTTGTTTGGTTCGCCTCGAACATGTCCGACGAACCGAACATTCCTCTACTTTTGGCCAAAAATGTTCGGCCGAACATGTTCGATGTTCGCGGTTTTGGTGCAAGGGGGAGGGGGGAGGTTCTGGCCCATTGAAACACATTGTAGAACCCGAACATCTTTGGGTTCACCCCTTAGTTGCGGAAGACGCGTCTAGCGTCTTAGACGCGTCCAACGCGTCCGTCTAGACGCAGCGTCTAAGACGCTAGACGCTAGATGAGTCAAATTAGACGCAGTATTAGACGAAAGCCCGGGCAGGCTAAAAAAACGTTCGGGCAGACAAAAAAATACTATGGGGCATGGGGAGGGTGGGGGACATGCACGTATGTCACAATGGGGTCAATTTTTCCCTGTACCATAAGTTTTTCCCCATTCTTAGATTTCACAAAAATCTTCACATCTTGAGGGGGATTCAAAATTGTTTGGGGGGCTGGTTTATATCGTCGAGATGGGTGGGAAGAGGTTCTAATGGCGTGAAATTAAATACCGCATCGAAATAGCGAATTTCAATTTCGCGCGCGCGGTATTTTTGTTTTCGGGCTGCCTGAAAATTTTTAGCCCAAGCGTCTAGCGTCTATACACTAGACGCAAGACGGCTCGAGCGTCTTCCACATCTATCACCCTGAGCATGCAGATGTTCGCCCCCTATCATGTACCCCGAACACCCCTGATCACCAAAAACTGTTCACATGTTCGTGCAGGTTCGCGCAGCATGTTTGGTGTTCTTGCAAGCACAGGTCGGGTCGGGTAGGGGCGACCCGATGCACAATTAGTAGGCCCTACTAAACAGAGTGCTAGGGTAGGAGCAACGGTAGTTAGGTGACGAGAGAAATGATCGACGAGAAATGTGTAATATAACAAAGTATAGAGCAGGTTGGGTTGTACTGAATCCTATTCCACGTTCAGCTGCCTCCATCAGCACTCTCCGGTCCAGCGAGTTGTCAGTACCTTGCCTTCCATGACAACAAAGCTCATAGTGCTTAAGTAATTATTGTATATTCATCTGCTTCCTGTCCTTTTCATCTCAGGGATGTTTCAATGAACCAGCTTTCAGGAAGCATTCCTGCAAGTGTCAGTGCTCTCACTCAAGCCACTATCTTGTAAGTCACACACAAGTTGGCAAAAAGCTGAGTACTAAATTGTATGTCACTCAGGGTTTAGGGTTTAGGGTTTAGGGTTTAGGGTTTAGGGTCAATTTTTTTGCAATATAGGTCGGCGCACATGCTCACCTCACCATATGAGCCAGCTAGATTGTTATCCTGTAATCTATATATGGAAGGTTGGTATGTATGTACAATGCAAGTAGGCACGAGCACAGCACCAAACCTGAGCTTGTACTTTGCCATCCAGTATTAGTCGAACCGGTTCTGATCCGACTCAAACCGACTCTACGGATACAACAGTTTGATTTGCTGGTTGGCTCGAGTCATGCAAACGTAAAAAGCTGGGGCTCATTGCACCAACTGGAAAGGGGGAAAGGATAAAGGAGGACACCGCCTTCTGGCACATATGCCCTCCTCCTTGTTACCTGGTCGTCCCTCCCTCCCACCCTAAGATAGTCATGATGGGCCAAACCATACCCGGTCTAGAAGGAAAAAAAAACAAAATTAACAAACTGTTCGTATCTTAGACACTATGCACAAATCTGGCATTTTCGCATGTGTTAGCCAATTCGATCAAATCTCAGATTGAATGTGCCTACTTACGACGGGCTGTGCCTCATGACAAGCTGCCATGCTTCGTCGCAAGCAGACTGGTCAAGGCAGAGGGCCGGGCCAGTTCGACTGTGCCGGGCTCAGACCGGCCAACTTAGACAGATGAAAGCCAAGTTGGACACATGACGAACTGCCATGGGCCTAACTGAGCTCAGGAATTCACTCATACGTTCTGTATTTACCCTGTATTCCTTTCTGGCAGATTGTTTGGTGACCAACATTAATTCGCTAACTTTCCTCCTTATTTCTTCCTTTGCCTATCTTGGCATCGCATTCCTTGTTGCTCTATGCAGGAATTGTTATGGCAATCAGCTCACTGGCTCAATTCCCGCTGAGATTGGTTACATGACAAAACTAGTGGTTCTGTAAGCCCTCTTCTGGTCTAGCGCCAAAATTGAACCAAGTGGTTTTTTTTTCTTGGTGAAGTGCGACAACCGAAGTGGGAGTTGTTATTTTTTCTTTTCTTTTCTTTTCGTTTTGTTCCAGGTGAGAACGTCGTGCATTGGTGAACTGATTTTGTGAACCCTGCCATGCTTTCTTTTTGGTCCTGCTTGTTTCTCCATGTTCGTACACTAGAGGTTAGGGTTGACCAGGAAAATGGGCTGGCCCCGGCCCGGGTCGGGCCGGCCTGGAAATGCCCCGGTCCGGGCCTCAAATTTTGGCTGTCGTCGGCCCTCTTTTGGCCCGCCTGTTTAGGAGCGAGCCGGGCCGGCCGGCCTCGAGGCGTGGCCTTTGTCGGGCCTTTTTGGCTTGGTTGTCGCGGGGGTCAAAATTGAGCTGCGCGACATCGTGCGCATACTCAATTTCGACCTAGTTTATTCCAGCAGGTCTCCCTGAACTGAAGCAACACCAGGTGCAGTTTTGGTGGAATCGATTTCAGCTCGGCCATCAGAACAAAACTCTTTGAGACATGCGTGCCACTCTACTTAAATCAGATGCCAGTTCTGGAGATCTATGTGGGTTCTCCTTTCTGTTGTCACAGACGTGAACCGATTCGGTTTGAACCGGCCTGTGACCATACCAACTGAACCGGTACCATTTGACCCATAAGAAACGAACCATGAAGCTGCATGCTCACATACCGTTTCTATCCACCTCGGTTTGGCTTCAACTTTTTTTGGCTCATGCCTCTTAATAGGGAGTAGTAGGTGAGAAGAGAAAAGTCTGATCTGATCAAAACATGGAGATACAATGATACATACTTGAGCAAGTACTGAACTCGAAAAGGTTTGATTTTAATCTGGGTCGAACTGTTGTTAAAACGGAAATAAACCGTTCGTTTTGGATCAAACCGTTGTTACGCATGTCAGTGGTTAGAGGTTCGCATAGCATGTGATATTTAAAGATATCAATGTACAAGTCGAACCCGAAGTGAACCGACGTTCCGTTCTGTGCTCATTCCTACAAGCTTCTAGTAGGCTTGAGCAGGGGGGTGAACACCTGTTCGGTTCGCCACAAAAATATTCGTGGCGAGTCGAACAGTTTCTTTTCTTGGCCTTTGTGTTTGGGGCAAACATGTTCGTGTCGGTTTGCCATGGATGGCTGAGCCACGACGTTGTCTGAGGGTGTCGACGGACACAAAAATGTTCCCCGCGCCCGCGACCAGCATTTTTTAGTCGACGGGATATTCAGTTTGAGCTCGTTTCTTGGCTCAAACTTTGACGATCCTCACTCCCACAGCCCATACTTCCACGAGCAACACTAAGCACCAGCCTACTCTACACAAATAGGCAGCGTAACTAGTAGCACATTATTAGAGTACAGAAAGGATTTCGCGAAAGGCTTTATAGTGCCTTTTGGGGTAGAATCCTACGGGGATCCACCAACCCTTGCTGTTGCACCCGCCAGGCCAGCTATCCCAAACGCGCAACAGGTCTAACACCGTCACCCTAAAACGCCAAAAAACTGTACTCTAGTTAATGTGAATATAATGAGGGCTGTGATAGGCAAGCACGAACATGTTCGCCAAGAACATGTTTGTGCTCTGGGCGAACATCAGGGGGTTCGCCCCTTGAGGCGAAACGGCCAACACACTTTTTGTTACAATGTTTGGCTTGCCCAGGTGACCTGTTCGCCCATGGCGAACATGAACACGTTCATGTTCGCCCCCTACTCTTGCCCAACCTAACCTAGGGCGTGGACTTTCTAGGATAATAACAATAACCTGAACCTGATTTGAACCTGAGGTAAACCTAGCTGAAAAAATAGCGGGAAATAACACATATCAGCATTCCGAATTACTGAGCAATGACTAGCATACACCAACCATCGCTTCTGATTATGTGTGTGATTCACTTCACGCAGGCCAACATAAACTTTGAAAGTGAGTTTCATAACTAGATATAGTAACCATATTGAGCATTTATAATCTAGCACTTGATCCGTGCATTATTCTTCTGTATCATCATCATGCCTCTAGCCATGATTGGTTCCGCTCAGCCCGCTCACTTGCCCAACCTGATACTCCGTCCGCCCTCATTGTCCCATCCTTCCCATCACTCCTCGATCATCCTTCTGTCTCACCACCATGGCCACCAGGTCTTTCGCCTTCAACCAGCTGTATGGGAGCATACCAAGCACTCTCACCCAGCTCACGCATCTCGAATTCTTGTACGACCCCCACATTACCTCAGTCTTATTGGCTTGGCTTGAATGTTTCCCTTTCGCTACCCAGTTTGTTTTGTATAATTGCCAGTGTTTAGAGATGAGCGTTGTACAGCACACCGCTTTGCCGCCTTGCGTTCACTTAGCTATGAGGGAGTGAGGGTGCGAGATGTTAACTTGGGAGAAATGTTGCTCGCAGATCTTCATATTTGAGTTCTGTCAGCCTATTTAGAGTCGCAAAATCCCCGCGCAGAAGTTATGTCCAGTAGATCTCACGAGCCGGAAGTTTGGTCGTCAACCAGCCTTGCGGCCGGCTCAACGAGCTAGCTTGTCTCAAGCCTGTCGGCCCAGAATCTGAGAAACGATGGCTCGGTTCATATATTTGTCAAGCAGCTTGGAGTTCTGCTCCTGCCAACTAGACATGATCAGAAAACTGAACCGGGGATATTCTTTTCGCCTTCTCGTTCGAGGCCAACCGGGTCAGGGTTCAACTTGAACCTGTTGATGTTCCAGATGTTTCAAGCTTGTTTTGTAATGTAGGAGTATATGCCTGGTCTCTAGGTACCATACAATAGGCTTGAGCACGAGGCGAACACGAACATGTTCGTGTTCGCCTAGGGCGAACATGTCACCTGGGCGAACCGAACAGTGTTCGTTCGCCGCGAACACTTTTTGAAAAAATGGTGTTCGCCTGTTCGCCTCTATGGGCGAACACCCCTATGTTCGTCCCGAACACGAACATGTTCATGCTCGACTTTTCACTTTTCTAATAATGGAATGGGCGTCGGTTTCAGCAAGGGGAGGTGTTATGGTGTGTGAAGTTAGGTTGTTTCGCTGGTTTCTTCCCTAAAACGCCCTGAACAAAAAAGCGAACATGAACATGTTCGTGTTCGGCGTGGCTTGGATAGCCGCAGCGGTGGAACACGAACATGTTCGCCCCGAACACTTTATGCCAAAAAGATATAAGTGTTCGGTTCGCCACGAACATGTTCGAGGCGAACCGAACAGGCATTACCACGGTATCATACCTGGGCTTGTACCTTAGCCATCCAGTGTGGATGTACTTTATCTAATCTGGTCCATGGGTGAACCAGACCCGACCCGACATGGACGAAACGAATCTAGCATTTTGGATGGGTGTTCGTTCGCATTTGGTATTCAACAGGCTGTGCCTGTTGAATCGAACGTGGAGTCGAATTCGCAGTGACGAAGCAGCTTCCGTCACTGCAAGGAAACCAGCGCAGCTTGTCAGAGGGCTGAATAATAGAGAGAAGAGAATTCGCAGCTGGACACATTATGAACCACCATGAGCCGAACTGGGCTGGGAAATTTGCTCATGCACACTATACTATCCTTGAGTTCCTTTCTGGCCCGCACTATTTGGTGACAAACATGACTTATCTAACTTTCCTGCTTGCTTCTTCCTCTGCTCAAACTCCTCGTCGGCCTATGCAGAATGTTCTTTGGCAATCGGCTGACTGGCTCAATTCCTGTCGAGATTGGTAACATGATAAAACTAGTAATCTTGTAAGCCTGTCCGTGCTCCTTCATTTGACTCTCTTCTTTAGTTGAATTCTCCTGCTTAGTTCTCTCTGTTAATATGCTAGGGATGAGCCGAAACCAAACCAGAGCTTGTTTTTTTCTCGTTATGTTTTTTTTCTCGTTTTGAAATACGAACCGGGCGAGGTTCGACTTGAACTGGTTAATGTTTCAGCTGTGAATGTCGTGGATTGTATCGAACTGGTTCAGCACGTCAAATGGGCAGCACGTCAACTTGAACCGGTGCGGCCCTGGTCTACCTGTGCATGATTGAAGTTCAAGTTTACGTCGATTCGTTCTCTAAAATGGTCGAACTGAAGCAGCATTGCGCACAATTATGTTCGAACTGATTTCCGACTGACCATCAGAGCCAAATTGTTTGAGACCTGAGATGGGTCCGTACTTCCTTGGCCGGCTGCTCGGTGGTCGGGATGTAATTCAACGTGAATTTCCCGCGCTTCACCATGTGCTGCAGCCAGGCTTGTCGCCGCTCCATGTGCTAGAGGTTGCCCGTCAACCTCATGCCCTCGGCGACCGTGATGGCCAACTTGTTGTCCACGCGAAGGACGGTCGGCGTCCAGACGTCCAGCTTCCGGAACTCTGCAAGGAGGAAGCGAAGGCGGCGTCCCTCCTTGTCGGCCTCGGTGGCCGCCACGTACTTCGACTCGGTCGACGATAGCGTCGCGCACTTGATGCGCTGGCTCGACCAGGAGACCGCGGCCCCTCCGTAGACGAACACGTAGCCACCCGTGCTCGTCCTGTTCTGCTTGTCGCCGGCGTCGTCGGCGTCCACGTAGTCGACCAGCTCCAGCGACTCGGGTCCACCGCCAAACTCCAGGGCGATGTCACGCGTGTTGGCGAGGTAGGCGAGGCAGCGGTCGACCTCGCGCCAGTGCTGGTCGCTCCTCACCGTGAGGCCGCTCTCGAGCTTGCTGCAGGCGAAGGCGATGTCCGACCACGTCGTCGTCGCCCCGAACTGCAACGAGCCGACATTCTGCCGGTACTCCTCCTCCTGGCGCTCCTGAGCCTCCTCGTCGTTAAACGTCAGCTCGACGTAGGCGTCGACCGCGACCGGCGTCTTCGGGGTACGCCCGGTCTGCTCCTTGTCGAGAAACCGCCTGCGCAGCTTGTCGGCGTAGCCCTGCTTATGGAGCCACAGCTTCCTTGCCGGCCTGTCACGCACGATCTCCATCCCGAGGTACTTTTGCATAGGCGAGGAGTG